ATACAATACAGCTTACGTGAAATGACGTTCTACAAATGACTAAACAACTCAATGAATGTCGGGAACAGCACAACATCTCATGAACAACAAGGGAGAACTGAATATTTGGATATTGTAAGAGGCAGTTCAAAGCTCAAACCTAATAATTGTATTACTCCCCCCCCCCCCCCCCCCCATTCGTACAAACTTTACACAGCTATAACTGCCATGTGTCAACAACACTTAAGCTGAACAATTTGTCCCAAGTATTGCACCTGTGGTCGTGTATAATAGCTTAACGACTGCTCTCCAGGGAAGAGCAAGTAACACCGGCAAAAGGGAAATCCAACATTCTAAGTTGGATGCACAGGAGCACCTGAGCTGCATTTCAAGTGCCTCTTCACCAGTTGCTGTTGAAGGAGATGGCAGTCTGTTTTTTTTGCTACGCCTGAGAAATATTACGTCTGTTTATCCGTCCGTCCCTCTATCCGAGGACAATGAACACATTTCACAATAATCAGAAGACCCCGACAGTATTCCCCGCACAACTGATCACACAGCTCATCAATAACAATGACGATATTCGTACCGGGTCTTGTGGGAAAAAAAAAATGACAAGATACGTGAAAAAGAAATCTTCAGCCATAATCAATCCGCTGCTGGATGAAGGCCTCTGCAACCCGTCTCCATGTCTCACGATCCCGCGATGTGATAATTCACTCAGCGACTGCGCACGAGCCGATGTTCATCGTTCCATCTCCCTCTCAAGACTTTTTCCCCCCACCCAAACCGATTGTCATTCAAGCACCCTTCTAGCCCGACTCCTCTTTTCTTGTCATCTCAACCTAACTCCGAGCATGCGGCTCTCCACGCTCCTCCTCGCACCCCTAATCAAGCATCCCAGCATGAGGCGCACAAATGCGCGTGAGCACACGGGTATCCAGACACAGCAACGTGCGTGCAACGTGTGCGCGTGCGTGTGCAGGTGCGTGTGCAGGTGCGCGTGCATGTGCAGGTGCGTGTGCGCGTGCGTGTGCAGGTGCGCGTGCGTGTGCAGGTGCGCGTGCGTGTTTCACCCGCACATCTCGTGAAAGCTCCCTTCGTGGATTGGCTTTCACGCTCCGTTCAAACAAACCAAAAACAAAACTTTAAACTGCTTTCCGCGTGCTTCTGATTAATCCCACCATGCTGCAGAGCTCACATTGCTCAGCGCTCACGAGCTCACAGGCGCTCATGATGAAGCCACAGCAATATGAAAACACCAATAATGGGACACTGTGGCTCTGCGAAACAAGGCAGGGCACTTAAAACCCGTGTTGGAGAGCAATGTGTTGCAGAGTAACGTCATTGGAATAACATTATATACAGCAGGTGCACATTGCAAAATCCCTTTTCTAAGCATTGAGGTGAACAGGTCGTCATGACAAAACTGTAGACCCCACCAATCTATACTTTGCCATCGCTCATTTCCTTCCCCCAGCCGCTGCAGCTGTTGCAAACTCCACTCCCAGGTCTGGTGTCGCAATTAAGTACGATTCCTGGAGGAATCACCCAGCTCTCGTGGTAACCGCGATACATTCGTGCCACACACACACACATGACGATCACCCATATAGCCTTGTAGACTGCTGCAGTGAGAGCGCTGTTGGTGAGCAACTATTCATACTTGCATGGCACATGAGGGGGTGCTGTGGCCAGCATCATGGTTGCCCAAATGTGCCTCCTCATTACCAACATTCACACACCACCTCAGGTACTCATTTAAGGCTAAGCGGACCTAGGGGAGGCCTGTGGTAGGTTCAGACACCACCCGTGACCAATGATGTACATGAATGGACAGATGCATCACGTAAACATCACACGCAGACACATTCAGACACAAATATACTGTGGCGAAAATCAAATGTCCCACTCTTAAGACACCTTACAGAGCAGTGAAGGAAATGAACACACGCACGTGTGCAGCGGAGCTGCATGGAATGACCAAACAGTAACGACATCACATTAAGAAGCCGGAACACGGTGGTTTTTATTCGGAGTGATTGCTGTGATTATATACAAGCGGTGCCACAACAGGGAACCCACTGAGAGCCATGGGGGCACCTGCCATTCTGCAGCTCAGCCTTCCTTCCTTCCTTGAGATTCACGCCTAACTCGCTTAGGAACCATGTCAAGTGTTCTGGGGTCCGATGCCCCAAACCCATTTAATATTACTCTCATCAATCACCATCATTACCACCACTGATGCAAATAGGTTGTGACCTAGTTGCCAACTCCAGCTTTTGTGTTTTGTATTACAACTACTCCTACCGAGCAGAGTGAGCAGGTGGCCGATGCTGACAGCAGGAGGAAGAATGATGTAAATGAGTTAAACTGAATGTGTTTATAATCGACTGTGGAGTTTAAGATTTCTAGGGGCATTCGTGCGTTCTCGCACTCACGCAGGACAGCATGTTGGAAGGTTGCGAGTTCAAAATCCTCAAGTCCCAGTCGAGCGGCAACTCAGCCACCGTGACACCAGACGGGACATCAAAAGCATTTGTAACATGGAAATTCTAGGCCCCTGCCACAGAATGATGAATTTTCACCACTGACTGCATTATTCTCTGGGTCCTCCGGTTTTTCCCTCCACATTTAGAAAATATGCGTTCACTATAGCTCTATAGCTCATCAGATTCCTCCAGTATAAATAAGGATTCTGATTATGGTATTACACAATGATAAAATATACCCATTTTCCTTTAAATACCATCGCAGCTAATTCCATTATAGGAGGGTAGCCAGCACCTCCTAAGGCTAGCATTGTACAGAGCTCCATGCCCGCCCGGCCGGCCACCTTTATCTACTCTTTGCTGATATTCACGCAAACGTTGTGCCAGGTATCCATTCTGAGGCCAAGTTGGCTGCAGAAATCCCTTGGCAGATTCCCACAGCGCTTGCCACTGATATTGTATACGGCACGGGTGGCCAGGATCGCGTGCCATGCCAACAACTGCGAGTGGTAAAGGATACATAACATGAATACGCACACTGGCATGGGATTCAGAGCGCACCCTTTAAGTGTTTCCCTATCTCGGGCTCTCACCATTGCAGCGGTAACAGCGGCCACGGCAGCTGGCAAGTGACAACCCACAATTTCTGCAGAGCCGATGGCCATGGGCTAAGGCCAACTCACATCTGCTTGCGAGCTCTCACGGGGGCGGTGTGTGAATGTCTAGACATTAGCTTGCAGGTGTATGAGCGCTCTCGCTGGCTAATGTGCTGGCTGGCTGGCAAGTTGGCAGACTGGAGGCAGATGTGCATGCACTCGGGCAATTCTGTGTGTGGAACAAACAAGCGTGGCCGGTGTAACCAGAACAAAGGTTTTAATTCCAGATGGCTGAGCGTGGCTAGCACACATACCACGTTGAGTCAATTTTACAAGGATTGAGAAATCAAGTGGGAAAGTGGTGCCCATCCTCAACTTAGCACTAAGGTTGTGCGAATCACCACAGGCGCCCCAGCTGTGGAAATTCCACCTTCAAATGGCATGCACTAGGTCTCTAGATAAAGATGACTTCTGTGAACTTTCTATTAGTTGCTGCTCATTATCATATATGTATCTTTCTTTATTATTACAATTTCATTACCAAAATACAAATATAATGATCAATGGTACCAGTGCAGTTTGAATCAGAAAATCTGCTCCTTAAGGCACGAAATAAAATATAGTTTTTTTGGTTGCAAGGTTTCCCTTACAAAAGGTATCTTATATCTAGTGTCTCCATCCTGATTAAATATATAGGGGTGTTAAATACTTTGTTTAACTTTGAAAGATATATAGTGAATACATTTTAAAGGTTTTAGATATTATTTTTTGTTAGTTTTATCACTAACTGTATCCCAAACGTGCCTTCATAGCCAAAGGTAAAAAAGCACTTGGGCAACGAAGAGAAATAACGTGAAGGAGAATGACCCCCATGCCACTTCCCGAGTCCTTGCAGTGCCTCCTCAATAAGGCTCCTCTGTCGAACCTCCACTTTAAGGCGGAGTCCATCACGCAGCGCGCGATGCACGAAGAATAAATGTACAATCTATCATCCAATACAAAAAACATTTTATCTCTCAGACCTGTAATAAAACAAAATAAGTGAAGAACTGAATTTATGTAATAGCTTTTTGTGCAGTCATTGATGAACAGGCTGAGACAATCAAACACTCCACCACAAGAGAATATGCTTTTATTTTATCTGGGAGCCGGGGGTTTGAACTTGGGATCTCAACAGCGCTAACTCAGTGCTCTGACACGACCATAGCATTAGTCCCTTGAGCTACCCGCCATCCAGGCACCAACAAAGGCCTCTGTGAGCGCGATGTCACGGCAATATGTTTTCAGCGCAACCGTGTCAGCGGCTGTGGCTTCATCTCCTCCCTCAGATTGTCCCCGTGTCCCGTAAGGCCGCATGGTCTTGTTGTTGGTTAATGGGGCCCTTGGCGGTTGCGCCTTCTAGGACGGACCCTGGTTCAGCCCCATAACCAATTTGACACAGACTGTGGGGGCAACATTTAAGTCATTTTGGACAGCAGTGGTATGACACGAGGAAATACAATCCAGGCCGACTCAGTGTCTTGCTGCACATGCACGCCATTGGGAAGTACTCCTCCTTCCCACTGCGGTGCCCTGAGTCAGAGGTAGAAATTCCATATTCCTGTGCCCTGTACCAGTCCCTCCATAAAATGATCACTCTACACCCCTTCCAGCCACGTGTCCTCCCAAAGCTCACACACGTGTTTAACAGATCTAATGTCAGTAGTTTGTGTAGGTTCTCTATTTCAGTCGCCCCTCTTTCTGTCTCTCAATGGCATTCTCAGCACACTTCGCTCTATGCTTCCTTGTGCCCTTTTTACTCTTTGTCCCATGTTTTTGATCAATGACCATATTTCCGAGCCGTATGTCAAAGTATGTTGTATGCACTGCTAAAACAAACACATGCAATGCTAGCTTTTTATTATGAATGCTCAACTGTGGATGATGGGCTCACTTGTGAATGCTGATGTAGGCCGTTGAGCTGACACAGCCTGTGGACAAGGCCTCAAAGATGACGGTGGTCTCCAGGCGGGAGAGGCCCGAGCCCCCCACTTCTGGCTGCACGTACACCCCACCAAACCCCAGCTGACCGGCCTTGTGCAGCATCTCCACGGGAAATATCTCCTGTGGCACACCAAAAACAACGCACGCACACCACAAGAGGCAAGTGATATTTGCGGGCGCCTATTCCAGGCCGCCATTGCACGCCGGGGGGGGGGGGGTTGCCACCTTGTCCCGTTTTTGTTTCTTTCCAGGATCGTCCTATTGTTGGGTCAAGATACTCAGCAGTCTTGGAAATCTTTAATGGGAAGAATAATAAGCTAATATTCTTCCCATTAAACATCCCCAGTTGTAACAACGTGAGGAAGTTTCATAGCTAGCTTCATACCTGGCCACCTTTGTCTCCCCTGTGCCGATGTTGGAATACTGAATCAAGTATTCAATGAAGGCTGAGTCGACCTAGGGAAGGACGATCCTTGAAAAAACAGGACAGGTGGCAACCCTACGTGCCATGCCGGCCTGAATAAGCGCTCGCTAACAACACTTGACTATGCTATTGTGCACAGCGAAGAACCAACCCCATGTTTGCTTGATCGTAAACAGGAATGTGGCACGATAGAAAATAAACTGTGGTTCCATTACCACTGTAACTGTGCTTAGGCTTGGTGCAAAGCTTGGCCATGTGGAGTGGCTAATGCCCCTCTTAGAGGAGGTTATATAATAGCCTGCTATTTTTAATGTATAGACAGGAATAGCTGCACTTCCGATTAGCACAGTTGGCTACGTGTGGTGTGAGAAAAGTTCAACATACATATATACATACCCAAATATAGACAATAAGAGTATTAAATCTGTTTTTTATGCGAGTCACTTTAGTCAATGCTGCAAGTTAAGAGGACTGCATGTGTGAGAAATATTTATACAACACAGTATCTGTTGTAACTAAACTGGGGAAAGTGAAGACAGTTGGACTTGGGTGGGTTGTAAGCAGAACACATCAGGTCTCAAAATCTACATCACGAGAAGTCAGGGTGGTGGTTTGTGCCCAGTGGCAGCGCGTAGCCCACTTGTTTCAGAGGTTCATGGGTCCATCTGGCTCACAATGGATGGTAAAGATCCCTCGACATAACTCAAAAGGAGAAGGCCACTGTGTGCCAGTGTCGTGGTCCAAATGTAAAAAATGCACACATTGTGTGTAACATCACTCCCTCCTGGCAAGACTCTATCCCTCTGTGAAACACAGCTCCTTTGTGACAGCCCTGAAATTTGCGAATGGCGAGAAGACCCAATGTTGCTCAATTATTAGGAGTGGTTAAGTCAATAAATGTGTCTGTAGGCCACGCCTAAGCCAATATATTCTCATGGATGTCTAGAAACAAATCTATGGCTGTGGGTTACATGGAAACATGTGGCCACACTTATGCAATGTGTGAAATTCCTGGCTCACAACACAGGGCACGTCCAGAAAGAAACTGGGTTCCTCGTGTAGGAAAACAAGTTGATTATCCCCCAACTAGCTGTAGACATTGCTGAAACAGGTGCAGTAGCAAAGACGCATACACAGACACAAATGTGCACGTATTACAGCAATGGCACGCCTGCAGAATGAGTGGAGAGCAACCATAAGTTCCTTAAACAAAATATAACCAACACAGGAGTAATGTCAGTCCACAATACAATGGCAGCAACATCTGTCCAACAATATGGGAAAGACTGGAAATGAAAGAGATCTGAAGAAAAAAAACGCTTACGGTGGCCACCTGGCGGCCATATTGATCCGGAGGTTAAAGTCAACATTATCCAACAAATTCCCTAAGGGGTGGTTTTTGTGTGTGTGTTACAACTTCCAAGTTTCAAGTCAATAACAACAAACGGCCCCTGAGATATAGCCTGAACCGATGCATCAGGCATCAATCAGGATGACTGATCGTTGCACTTCTTCCCTGGGATGCCTGTGCATTTCTGCAAACAATTCCCACTGCACAAGGTTTTCTTATTCCCACCTCTGCCGCGGCTGCTTGACCGTTACAATATCAATGCTATACCATTCTTAAATAACACCTGTAACACACACGTTTAGTTGTGGACGTTCAAGTTAAACGAGCGGCGCGCAGTATTCATCTCCAGGGGTGGTCCATGAGCAGATTCTAGCTGCGTTCTGGGCCACATTTTAACAGTGGGGATGGGGGCCTTCCAACAGAAAATAAAAACACATTTAGACTTTAGACGCAATAATATAGGTAGCTGCACATTTACAGGATAGTCTCGTAACAAAGGAATGTTGCTACATCAGGCAAATCCAATTTGATTTGACCGATATTGTTTTATATTTTATCACCAATTACATGCCAATGATCGTATTCGATTCATGACACATCACTACAGAAAATTGTCTTTCCACAATTCCCTTATTGAGCAGAATATCACAACTCACCAAGGAACAGTTCTGCAATCCGGTACCACGACTGCTTCCAGTGTCACGTTTACAAACAGCTCTTAATCAGCGTTGATCCGCCATTCCTTCACGCTCGGTAAAACGATGCTCCTGGCCGTCAAGCGTCAAAATAACGCAATGCATTCACGATTTTTAGCCCTCACAGCTGTGCCGAGGAACATTGCTTGAAACTAAAATTGTGGGGTGGTTCTGTGAGGTCACCGTTGAATTCTTGGATTCAAACCTATCACCATCAAGTGCCATTTGTGCATTTCTCTGACAGAGGGCACGATGAGTGATGTCATTTTAATGGCATTATCATTGTCGTCGTCGTCGTCACACAAATGGGTTGAGGGCTGTAAAGTAGATGTCGCTGCATTTAATCAAGATAATTTTAAGTCACCGTGGAATATGTACATATATCTTATGAACCATCATTCATACACAGTCAGTTAGATGGATGGATGGACCAGACTAATGAATGGAGGAACAGATGGGCAGACAGATGTACATGAGGTAAGATCGGTCACTGAGATTACTCACTTTTCAAAAAGAATGAAAACGACACGTGAACATGACAATAACAATATCACCTGAAATAACAAGCTCTTTATTTGTGACACTTCAAACCTCACATTTAAATATGGCGTTGGGCCAATCTTGAAACAGGCACGATTCCAGATGTCTGTGCCGAATCCTCCGGTCGCAAAAGCATCATCGATGCTTGAAATTATGATTTTGTTTGTTTAGAATTGCCAAAAAAATTACTTAAAAGCACTGTTGTGTTCTTCTGTGGAAATTACAGTTGATTTATTCGCGAAAGCAGACTAATGTATGATCACATTAGCCCTCTGCCCATCGCTGACTGCAATACAATTTTTGTTTTATACACCGTCAAAAATAATTAACCTATCCCTAGGCAATGTGCTATGCACTGTGATTTCCTTTTCCTCCTTTCCTCATCTAACCTTCCCTCTCACATGGTAATGTTAAACACCGCGCTCCATTTGAAAAGCAACATTACAAATTTCCCTAACTGCAAAATGTGCCTTTTAATGAACCAAAATGTCCCACGCCTGTAGAAGGTAATTCATCTCAACGTATGCCGTTTACTTTGCCGAGTAGTTTTTTTTATGCAACACCACTTCAAAGGCGTAATGGCTCCATCTGCATTGGCACGTGACCATATCCCACCAGCAAGACCACAATGGAATATTGTGAAGCATTTTTCTCAACTGTGAATCCCATGAAAATAAATCCCAAGTCAAAAGTATTGCCTGCAGGAAGAGATCGCTTGGTAGCCTCGAGGCAAAACCATTTTAACACAATTTAGACTATGATTCCCACAGCAGGGAATTATACAAATTAACAACTGTAAAATGTACATTAAATACTCTGTGACATCTTCTACAAGATGAGACTGCTGAGATTCAATGTCTTAGCAAATTTCAGCCTTTGTTACCCACAATAATTAAGAATGTGATTGAACAAAACTTGGATATTTATAAGAGGATCACTAATTGAATGTTCAGTGTTTAATCTAATGCAAACATCCAGATGGATGGAATTGCAGTCATAAATTAGATTTTGTACCTGTGGAAAAACGTGTTTATTCAGTAAATACCGTTCTTATTATATACACGTTAGCAAAACTCCACAGGGCCATGGAGGGTGTGGCCATCAGCTCATACGGCGGCCTCGCGAGGACGTCCAACCCCAGGCACAAGGTCCCAAGGGGCGACGGAGACCAGGCACCACGGCCTCTCTAGCGACATCACCCTCAGGAGCCTGGGGAGTGCAGGGGCTGTGCCCACCGGAACGCAATTCAGGTGGTTGTGCAACGTCAAGATCGTGGCAAGGCGGAGCCTAACGGTGCTGCGGGGCGCCCGCACTCAAACTCCTCCTGGAGGTGTCCTCCGCTATGGCCGGAGGCCCATATAAGCAGCCTCCTCACGAGGTTCGAGGCTGCCCGTATCAAGAGTGAAGATGCATCGTGAAGATGCCAAGAAGAGATCCGTGTGTAGGTCCCAGCCAGAGGACTCTAGGATAGCGGTAGACGTGTTGTAAGTCCCGCCAAGACAGGAGGCTGTACCTCCCTAGAGTATCTGAGAAGTGTTTGAAAGCTAGAGTAAGTCGGTGGTCACCACCCTATGCGTAATGTAAGAGTTAACTGTTGTGTTCATTAATAAAATAAGTGTTGCCTCCCAGGAAGTTGTGTGTGCACCTAATTCGAATCCACTACATATACACCTCAATGGAGAAAGCCTTCATTAAAATATTCAATCATGTTCATATTGGCAGCAATAGTTCAATCAAATTAACGACTTTGAAGATTCAATACATTTGCGCTATATGTCATATTTCAGTAACTAATTAAAAATTAAATACTCTATTGACTACAAATTATACGTATTACAAAAACACAAGACAGTTGGGCGCATATAAATACTGCATTGTGGATAATGAATGCATGCAGTAGAAGTCACTATCAAGAGTCTTGATAAATGTCTCACCCCAAACTAATTATTTCATAAACTGTGCAGTTTATCATTAGGTGAAGGCAAATTATTGTTGAACATGGTAATGTATCATTTGCAAGCCATCGCAGTGACTAGTTTAATTTTCCAGCTTCAGGTTTACAAAGGGTGTAGGTGGCAAATGAGGCACATGATTTCCCCTGGTACTCTCC